GTTCATGCCCGCTATCATTTAATTGCTAACTATCCTCCCATTTGAAAACGAGATTGGCGCAACTTTGTTTTGCCTTTTTACACAATAGACACCTTTCTGTTTTGATTATGTGTGAGTCGAAGTGACTTGCTCCTGTTACCAGTAGCAACCTTCATGTCCTTCCCAAAGTTATCATGTATGTGCAAGGCGCTGATGAAAACTTCATTCCAAATGCCCAGAGTGGTTGATGGGGTGTAGACACGAATGCTGCACACATGGTACCATGGCATCAGAACAAGCGAGCAGAAATTCGTTGTGGCACTAGAGCTGAGGGATCGCTTTAAGATAAGATTAGTAGGTAATTTCGTGACAAGACGAACCGCGATATGCTACTTACACTGTTGGCGACTTTGCATAAGTGAGGCATGTGGGCTTAGACGCGAAACCCGAGGCGTCACGTATGTGTGACGTTAGTGGGAGAATGAAAAGCCCAGCCTAAAATATGAAATTGTAAGTAGGCATTGCTATTGGATCTTGTACGGCAAAGTCCCTCCTCCCTCTCTGCTACCTGATAAATTTTCGGGCCACTCATCTGATTACGAATTTCTGATTCCCTCGCCAGTGGAAACCGACCGACAACGTACACACACAAAGAGTCGCTGAAGTAAAAAAATATCCTCATATTACTGTGAAACGGCGTGTGTTTGTGTATGTGTGCCCTGGGCCTGGTGTCTGGATTATCAGTGTATCATTTACCAAATTCGCTTTAGTCCGCAAGCAAGTGTTTCGCCTCCGCTTCATAAGGCGGATCGCATTCCCGGACGAGGAAGTGAACCAGCAGATGGATGGTGGGGATGACTCACCGGAGCTTGTGAAAAGGAGGAAAAAAATGCCGATGCAGCAATGCTGTTACTGACACCGTTGGATATCCCCAACCCCCTCCTTTCCCCCTTTTAAACCCCTACGATACCCACACCGTTGTTTTCATGATAGAGTAAAATTGAATCGACAACCTTTGTCGCCAAAACGTCAAATGCA